TAATTTACACCAGTCTCCCTGTAAGATTAACTCTCTATCCTCCTCCCTTGCTGTGTTTTCCTTCACAGCCCCACTACCTAACCAGCTACATATTTTCATTATCTTATTTATCAGCCTCTCTACTCTAAAAAGCAAAAATCATTAAGAACTTTTCTCTATTTCATTTTCACTGTGATATCTCTTAGAAAACTTTTCAATGAGTAGACTGGGTTCAAATTTTCAAGAATAATGGATGTTAGAAACAAACTGAGCAAAGTCTTCAAAGTTCGGAGGAAAATTATTTTATATCTAGAAACGTATAATCAGAAAAATTGTCAATCAAATATGAGAACCAAAAAAAAAACACAAAAACCCAGTTTCTAATATACATAATTTAGAAATTTTATCTTTTATCATTTAACTTTATGAAGATTTATTTCAATTGTAACAATAGGACACAACAAACATGAGTACTAACCCAGGAACATAATGAAAAGAAATCTGAGAACATTACTCCAACAAAAGGCCAAGGAAGTTCTGGCCCATATTAAAAGAGAAGGTCCAGGTTAAGTGATGTTATTTCTTTAGCAAGAGAGCAGGTAACCTTACAAAAAATTTATTTTGTGATTTAAAATCATACATTTTAAAGCCTAAAAGTACAACTGTGGTGTTATCCATAAATGGAGATCCACAGACCAACTTCCTCTGAGCATTAAGCAGAAGGAATGGTAATTAGAAAGTCTGGTAAAAAACAAAGAACTATACACACAAGCAGGAAAAAAAAAAAAAGAGCCACAGTAGAAATATGAAGCAAAATATGGTATGATTTTGAGAAACTGAAGAACAGTAGACATTTTTTCTCCTGGAAAACAATTTCTACTGGTCAGTTAATCTGGGACAGGAAGCAGAATTAAGAGATACTCTAAACTGATATATAATCACTGTAAAAGAAATAATAGAGATAATCGTATCTCTACAGTGTTATTTTGCTGAAAGTCATTAATCAGTATCATGTTCCAATTTTCAAATAAGATGAAAATAACCAATACCGACAACATGTGGAAAAGCTGGAGCCTCACACACTGCTGGCGGCACTGTAAGCTGCGGCTGGCACTGTGTTAACAACTTGACGATCCCAGAAAAGTACATACAGAATCACAACATCACCAAGCAATTATACTCCTAGGTACAGACCTAACAGAACTGAAAACAGGAGCTCAGATAAGAATATGTATAGATCAGACTTCTGGACTCTGGGAGAAGGCGAGGGTGGGATGTTTCAAGAGAACAGCATCGAAACATGTATATTATCTATGGTGAAACAGATCACCAGCCCAGGTTGGGTGCATGAGACAAGTGCTCGGGCCTGGTGCACTGGGAAGACCCAGAGGGATCAGGTGGAGAGGGAGGTGGGAGGGGGGACCGGGATGGGGAATACATGTAAATCCATGGCTAATTCATTTCAATGTATGACAAAAACCACTGTAATGATGTAAAGTAATTAGCCTCCAACTAATAAAAATAAATGGAAAAAAAAAAGAATATGTGCACATAAATTCATAGAGGCACTTTTCTCAAAAGCCAAAAAGTCTAAGCAAATCCTGCGAGGCTCCTTTGTCCATGGCATTCTCCAGGCAAGAGTGCGGGAGTGGGGTGCCTTCCCAACCCAAGGACTGAACCTGGACCCCCTGCACCGCAGGCAGGCTCTTTACCCCACGAGCCCCCGGGGAATTCGAGTGTACCATACATACAGGGACTATTACTCAGCTGTGAAAATGCGTAGCAGTATGGATGTATAGCTGACACAAGATAAAACATGGATGGACCTTGAGAACAGTATGCCAGGTGAAAGAAGTCAGACATTAAAGATCACATACTATATACAATTCCACTGAAGTGAAAATCAAAATAGATAAATCCTTAGAGACAAAATCCAAATTGATGATGGAAACTGGGTACTGGGAGGAGGTCAGATTGAGCAGAAATTGTTTTTAAAAAATTTCACCTCAATAAATTATTCTACAATAAAGATGTTCTACGATAGGGTCAGCCTTCCTATTTGTGTATATCCACAGTCTTTAAAGATTTCCATAATCTTACTTCATACTGGAAGGCTGTTAGGATCAAATATTTATGATTTTGAAGCCTCTTAGGATCAAATCTCATGTTCACTAATCATTTAAGTTTCATGTTATTTCCCCCCTCCATTAAATTCAACTAAAATTTTTAAAACTATGTTTTATTTTTCAAATACTACATCTGTTCATGACTACAAGATATGGTATGGGGTTTTTAGCTTGTTTCTTTTTTATATTAATTTTTTGTTTAGTTCTACTAATATACAGTTGACCTTAATATAATAAAACTTAAGATATTTATAGTGTATATCATGTGATTTTTAACTTTGATGTTCTCCTCTCCACTTGCTGATACATACTTTTTTTTCCCTTTGTTTTTTATATTAATTTTTAAAAATTGCCAGGACCAATGTGAAACAGATTACCCCATTTGCCTTTATGATGTTTATACTGAAATTTTTGTGTTCAAGTCTTCAATCCATCTGGAGTTGACTTTTGCATATCATGTAAGATGGGAGGCCAAGGTCATTCCTATGCCTGTGACTGTCCAATTTTCCCAATACTGTTTACTGAACAGACTATCCTTTGCCCAATCAATATTCTTAGATCCTTTGTCATAACTTAATATACCATCCAAGTGTGGTTTTATTTCTGGTTCTCACTTCTTTTACATTAGTCTATATGGCCATTTTTATGCTAATACCGTGCTGTTTAGATTATTACATCTTTGTAATAAACTTTAAAATCATGAAGTGTGGTGCTTTCAGCTTTGTTCTTTCTCAAGAGTGCTTTGTCTATTTAAGGTATTTTGTGGATACATACAAACTTTAGGATTGCTTTCCTACTTTGTGAAAAATGCCAGCTGAGTTCTGATACACAATTCACTGAATCTATAGACTGTTCTGCGTGCTATGAACATTTTAGCAGCATAATTCTTCCCTTCCATATGTAGAGAATATTTTTCCATTTCTTTGTGTACCCTTCAGCTTATTTCATTAATGTCTTATAACCATCAGTATCCGTATCTTTCAACTCCTTGGTAAAATTTATTCCTGAGCTTTATCCTTTTTGATGCAACTGTAAATGGGACTACATCCTTAATTCCTCTGATAGTTCACGTAGTTGTTGTTGTACTTCAGTCACTAAGTTGTGTCCAGCCCTTTGTGACCCCATGGATTACAGCACGTCAGTCTTCCCTGTGCTTCACTATCTAAGGAATTTGCTCGAACTCATGTCCATTGAGTTGGTGATGCCATCCAACCATCTCATCTCTCATGGTCTGTCACTCACTTCTCCTCATGTCCTCAATCTTTCCCAGCATCAGTCTTTTCCAAACAGTCAGTTCTTCACATCAGGTGGCCAAAGTATTGGAGCTTCAGCTTCAGCATCAGTCCTTCCAATGGACATTCAAGGTTGATTCCCTTTAGGATTGACAGGTTTGATCTCCTTGCTGTCCAAGGGACTCTCAAAACTCTTCTTTAGCACCAACAGTTCAAAAGCATCAATTCTTCAACACCCAGCGTTTTTATGGTCCAATTCTCACATATGTACATAACTGCTGAAAAAAAACACAGCTTTAACTAGATGGCTCTTTGTCAGTAAAGTGATGTCCATTTTTAATACAGTATCTAGGTTTGTCATAGCTTTTCTTCCAAGTAGCAAGCATCTTTTAATCTCATGGCTGTAGTCACCTTTGGCAGTNTTTCTCATCACCTCTTAATATCTTCTGCTTCTGTTTTGTCCGTACTGTTTCTGTCCTTTATTGTGCTCATCTTTGTGTGAAATGTTCCCTTGGCATCTTTGATTTTCTTGAGGATTTCTCTAGCCTTTCCCATTCTATAGTTTTCCTCTATTTCTTTGCATTGATCACTGAGGAAGGCTTTCTTATCTCTCCTCACTATTCTCTGGAACTCTGCATTCAGTTAGGTGTATCTTTCCCTCTCTCCTTGCCTTTCATCTCTCTTCTTACTCACCGATTAGTATTTGTGTAAAGCCTCCACTTGCCTTACTGCGTTTCTTTTTCTTTGGGATGGTTTCTGTCACTGCTTCCTGTACAATGTTGTGAACATCCATCCGTAACTCTTCAGACACTGTGTCTACCAGATCGAATTCGTTGAATCTGCTCATCACCTCCACTGTATAACTATTAGTGTACAGAAATGCAACTGATTTTTGTATATTGATTTTGTACCCTGCACCTTTAATGAATTTATTAATTCTAACAGGTTTTTTCTCGTAGTGTTTTCAACATATAATATCATACCTCCGCAAATAAAAAGTTCTATTCCTTTCTGATCTGAATACTTCTTATTTCTTGTTCTTGATTTCTCTGGCTAGAACTTCCAGTATTATGTCAAACAAAATTGGTGAGACTGTTTTTTTTAATATGAGTAACACCATCTTTTTCTCATGGTTACCATTACAAAAACAACTGGGATATACAGCCCAAGTAAAGAATACTCAGCTTCTTGGGGACGGGGGTGGTGGGGTGGGCAGGGGAGGCAGGAAGCTTGGGCATTCTTATCATCCACCTGATCTTAGGAAAAAGGCTTTCAGCTTTTCACTATTAAGTATGACGTTAGCTATGGTTGTTCATATGTGGTCTTTATTGTGTTTATTAAGTTGCCACCATGCCCTGTTTCTTGAGAGCTCACACCATGAATTGGAGAATGCAATGCCAACTCACTCCGGTATTCTTGCCTAAAAAATCCCATGGACAGAGGAGCCTGGTGGGCTGCAGGCCACAGGGTTGCTAAGAGTCGGACACGACAGAGAGACTTTACTTTCACTTTTCACTTTCATGCATTAGAGGAGGAAATGGCAACCCACTCCAGTGTTCTTGCCTGGAGAATCCCAGGGACAGGGGAGCCTAGCGGGCTGCCATCTATGGAGTCGCACAGAGTCGGACACGACTGAAGCGACTTAGCAGGAGCAGCAGCGTACCATGAATGGATGCTAAATTCTGTCAAATGCTCCTTCTGCATCGAGATGATCATATGATTTTCATCCTTCATTTTATCAATGCAGTATATCACACTGATTTCAGGATGCTGAACCACACTTACATCCCTGCAAAAAGAGAAAAATCCCACTTGATTCTGTTGTATAATCTTAATGTACTACTGAATTTGGTTGAATACAGTTTGTTGAAGATTTCTGCATCTGCGTTCATCAGAGCTACTGGCTTGTAACTTTTTTGTAGTGTCCACGCCTAGTTTTGGTCTCAGGGTAATGCTTACCTGATAAAACAGAAATACGCCCTCCTCTTACGTTTTCTGAGAAAGTCTGAGATGGTCTGACATCAATTCTACTTTGAACGTTTGGCAGAATTCATCAGTGAAGCCATCTGTGCCAGAACATGGCTAGGACTTTCCTGATTCTATCAGATTATTCAGATTCTCTCTTTCTTCAGTATGATAGGTTGCATATTTCTAGAAACTTAACCACTTCTTCTAGTTTGTCCAGTTTGTTGATGAATAATTATTCATAGTAGCTTCTTAGGAACTGTATCTCAGTGCTGTTGGTTTTCTCCCACCTTGGTACACCCAGCTTAAGATTTCTCTACTTCATCTTTTAAAAAATAAAACTTTGTTTCATTGATATTTTCTGTTGTTATTTTAATTTCTATCTCATTTATTGTGCTTTTTGTTTTTCCCATTATTCAACTAATTTTGTGTTTAGTTTGTTCTTTTCTGTTCCCGAAAAGGAAATTGAAGTAATTAATTGGCCCTTCCTTTCCTTCTCCTCCCCGGAGGCAACCTTTTTTTTTTCCTTCTTACTGAATGATTTTAATTCTACAATGCTCGACAACTGTCAAACACTTCACACACACAATTCCACAGACTTCTGTGATATTCCTTTTCCCCACTCTACTGCCGTTCCCCACTTCCGTCTCCCAGCTGGTAAATACAAGTTTGTTCTCTACATATGGAAGACTGGTCCGGTTTTGTTTCAGTCACTGATCTGTTGTATTTTTTAAATTCCACATATAAGTGATATTATACAGTGTATGTCTTTCTCTGACTTACTTCACTTAGAATAATGCCCTCCAAGTTCACCTGTGCTGCTCCAGATGGAATATTTCATCATTTGCCAATGGCTGAGTAACATTCCAGTGTGTGTGTGTACACACAAACTATCTTCTTTACAAACCATCTGTTTATAGCAACGTAGGTTACTTCCACACACTGGCGATTTTAAATACTGTCGCCATGAACACTGGGGTGCAGGTATCCTTTTGACAGTGTTTTTGTTTTTCCAAATATATACCCAGGAGTAGGACTGCTGAACCATGTGCTAGTCATTTTTTTTTTTCAATTTTTGAGAAACTTCCAAATTGTTTTTCACAGTGGTTGCACATATGTCCATTCTAATCAACAGTGTACAAAGGTTTTCTTTCCTTCCACATCCTCGCCAACATTTGTTATTTGTGTTCTTTTCGATGATAGCCATTCGAACCAGTGTGAGGCGGTATCTCATCACAGTGGTATCACCACTGAGGTGATATCTCAAACAAATGCAAATGCTTTGACCCTTATCTCCCAGATTATTAGTGACGCAGAGCATCTTTTCATGTGCCTACTGGTCATCTTCATTTCCTCTTTAGAAAAATGTATTCAGTTTATCTGCCCATTTTTTGATCATTCTTTTGTATGTTGAGTTAAATGAACTATTTATACATGCTGAATATTAACCCCTTATTGGTCACATCATTTGCAAATATCTCTTCCCAGTCAGTAGGCCGTATTTTTCTTCTATTGATGGCTTCCTTTGCTGCGCAAAACCTTTTAAATTTAATTAGATCCTATTTGTGTATTGTTGTTTTTCTTTCTTTTGCTTTAGGAGATGAATCCAAAAACTACTGCTGTGATTTATTTCAGAGAGTGTTCTGCCTCTAGGAGCTTTATAATATCTGGTCTTACATTAGGTCTTTATAGTCTATTTTTAGTTTATTTTTCTTTGTTGTGTTAGAGAATACTGCAATTTCATTCTCTGACATGTATCTGCCCAGTGTTCCCAGCACTACTTATTGAAGAGGTTGCCTTTTCTCCATTGTGTATTTGTGCCTCCCTTGTCACAGATTAGCTGAACCATAAGCATGTGGTTTACTTCTGGGCTCTCTGTTATATTCCACTGACATATGTACCTTTTTAAATTATCATAGCTTCGTAGTGTGGTCTGAAAACAGGACACCTGATTCCTCCAGCTCTTTTCTTGTATGTCAAATTTGCTTTGTCTATTTGAGGTCTTTGGTGTTTTCATGCCAAATTTTAAATTATTTATTCCAGTTCTGTGAAAAAGTCCATTGGTATCTTGACAGGGATTGCACTGAATATGGAGATTGCCTTAGTAATGGTAGTAATAGTCAATTTAACAACATTAATTCTTGAATTCAAAAACATATTTTTCCATCTGTTTGTGCTAAAAATTTCCTTCATTGGTATCTTACAGTTTTCTGAGTACAAGTTTTTTATCTCCTTACTGAGGTTTGTTCCTAAGTATTGTACTCTTTTTGATGAGATGGTAAATGGAACTGTTTCCTTAATTTCTCTCTCTAATAATTCATTGCTAGCATATAGAAATGCAAGAGATTTCTGTATATCAATTTTGTATCCTGCAAATTTACTGAATTCACTGATGAGTTCCAGTAGTTTCCTGGTGGCATCTTTAGGATTTCCTATGTATAGTGTCATGTTACCTGCAAACAGTGACAGTCTTACTTCTTCCTTTCTAATATGGATTTCTTTTCTTTTTCTTCTCTGATTGCTGAGGCTAGGACTTCCAAAACTGAGCTGAATAAAACTGAAGACAGAGGACACCCCTGAGATTTCCTTTCTTAATATAGGTGCTTATTGCTATAAACTTTCCTCTTAGAACTGCTTTAGCTTTTAATACATTGGATTGAACATAATTTTTATCTTTTTACTTTTCTGTATATACTAAACTTTCTAAAACATATATCACATTTTTAATTTTTAACCATTTGTAATTTGTGAAAAGGATAAAAATGTTAAATAAAATCAGAAGGAACACTAGAATAAACCACTTTGGGGGGAAAAAATCTATTATTCTAAGCTGATATAAATGACTTTGAAAGTTTAAAATAGTTTAAAGCAAGAATGATGAGAGCATCGGCATGCATAATTTACATAGATAGAATGAAAAAGAATAGAATTTTTAAAAATACCTTACTATAAAGGAATGATTCTATTAAAGATTTTCTTCCATTTATATTTTGAAATATGACCACTGATGTCAGTGTTCTTACTGCAAAAGAACCAATAAGTGCTCCAATATTTTTCAGTAGTTACACAGTTCTTTCCCCAAGTCATCAATACTTGTAATGAATCAAAAGAAATGAGAAGCATAGGGAAGACAACAGAAAAGCAGCTGGATTGAGACAGAAAACAAACTGCCTCATTCCATTTATTTTCCCTACAAGTCAGTCATAAAGTGATCTACAGTAGGACTTTTTGAAATTGCAAAAGTGATCCATCATTGGATAGGGAAATAAATGTATTTATGGGTATCAGTATATATTAAATGAAGTATGCAAAAAAAAATGTAATAAAATAGAACACAGTATATATTCAACGTAGCCAAGGCAGAATTGTTTCAACTTTTGTTAGCTTCATTTGTGCATTTATGCCTGTGGAAAATGTCTCATAAACACAAAAGGTATTTCTTACTAAGGGTTGTGGTAAAAAAAAAAAAAATGTGAATGCTACCTATTTGATATACCTTCATCTCTAAGGTCAATCATTCTAAGTTTGCAATGCCTTCAACAAACTTAATGAACATCAGAATGCAGGTAGGTAGGAAGGTAGGAAAGAAATAAAGAAAAAAGGTGAAGAAAAAGAAAAAGAGATAAGAATACAAAAAGTATTCAGTAAGAAAAGGGCTGAAAGTATTCCGGTGGGAAAATATTTTTAAAGACCAATGCAAGTTTAATTAAGAGAGAAGGAAAACAATGAAGAAAAAGAAAAGACCGGAAGTTGGTGGGTCAATAGATAAGTGGAAAGAAATTGTCAAGGAACTCTGTGTTACAGCGTAACATTATTCCCTGAAGGAGTCTGCAAACCAAACCTGGTAGAAGTGTATGAACACATACATACACATATACACACACATGGAGAAGGAAATGGCAACCCAGTCCAGTATTCTTGCCTGGAGAATTCAGTGGACAGGGGAGCCCGGTGGGCTACGGTCCATGGGACTGCAAAGAGTCAGACATGACTGAGCACACAGCACATACACATACATACACATCAACACACAGTTTCTGTACACAAATCTATAAAACAGATTACAATAACTATAATAAGGGTATTATTATGAAACGAATGTTTATCATTCCCCAAAACTAAACCTTAATTCCCAGCATAATGGTATAGAAGTGAGGCCTGTGTGAGGTGATTAGGTCATGGGAGTGGAGCCCTCATAAATGAGACTGGTGCCCTTATAAACAGAGACCCTTGAGAACTCCTTTATCCTTTCACCACGTAAAGACACAGCAAGAAAGCGTCCACCTATGAACCAGCATATGGATCCTCACCAGACACCAAATTTGCTAGCGTCTTGAACTTAGACATCCCAGTCTCCAAAACAGTGAAAAATAAATTTCTGTGATTTATAAGTCACACAATCTATGAGACTAAGACAGATGTTAATAGCACTGAATTTAAAACGTACGTTTTGAAATGAACATACACTTACCTTTCAGGAAAACTTTACTGATCCACAAATCTAACTGACACTTGCAAATGCATGCTCCTGTTATGGCCCACAGATGACGTCAGGCTCTGTACAATAGAATTCTCCAAAAAAGTCTTGGTTGGCCAACAGGAAGTAAACAGTCAAGAAACAGAGATCAGCTAAGCTCCACCTCAGCTGAGCTTCAGGAAAAACAGCAAATACCTAGAAGAATAAAGAAATAAAACAGCTTCAAGTATTCCTCTCCCTAAGCAAAGGACCCCTAAATCAAAGTCATCAATGCAAAAAGCTGAAAAAACTTATGCCATATTTTTGGCTCTTAGGAGACAAATGTTAGCTTACACATTAATCACCCTTTCCATCATCTAAAATAGAAGAAAGAAACTCACTATAATGCTCACAATAAAAAGCATTATAATACCAAAAAAAAAAAAAACCTAAAATACCTCAATATAAAATACATCACCTGTTATCACTTTGTTTCACTGACATGAAGTATTCAAATAAGAAATGCACTACTCTAATACATAATAAAATAATAAGTATTAAAATCACATAAAATAAAAAATGGAAATCTGACATTTTAAAACAAATGTGAAAAAACTCCACTGAATATAATTCCAAAGTACTAATAAAATGCAAAATTAGAATACAGTTGTATCAGTATGGCAAGTAAATATTATTTGTGAATTAAAAATTAACTTCCATAGCCTTTTTGCCTACAGAAAAACATTTATCATCTTTAATAATATACTTCAATACACTTTCACAAATCCTATCTGACAGAGATACATCTCTACATAAAAATCTTCAAGAATAACAGCAGAATTCCTTAAAAATCTACCTAATTTAAGTAAAGAACCTCTAAAGGATAATAAATTACTAAACAATATGATCATTCTATTCTAGATTTCATTCTGTATTTGCT